GAGCAGGAGCTTTTAACTTTAATAAGAGAAAAAAAAAAAATTTTTCATTTTAATTTTGAGAATAACATGGATAACACAGCTATCAGCTTATTTTTCCCAGTGACCAGGATTTGCAAGACTCACAGAGCACAGTCAATTTTGGCATCAGCAATGTCCTTCTCAGCCACCACAGGAAGACCTCTGGCACATACATCCAAGGCTCTCTCTGGACAGGACACTGTTTAATCACTTCCAAAATCAGGGTAGTCTGAAAAATTACAGGGACTTCCCCAACTTTCCTTCTTTCTTCCCCCTCTCTGGGGGCATGTTGCCTGAGAGATGGATCAAAACAAGTCCCCATAGCAAACATCACATGAACAAGCCCTTCTCTGGTAGGCAAGGAGCTCTAGTACAAGTGGCTACTTCTCTGTGGCTTGTGCCCTCGTGGTGCTGTGAAGTGTCACTGACTGAGACCCTTTACCATTCACCTGGTTGAGAGCATCAGGGAAGAGCCAGACTGGGACCAGCAGATGTGCTGCTGCCCACAGATGGGCTCAGGGATTCACCCAACCCAGTGACTCCCAGTCTATGCACAGAGCAGTTGCTAAAATACAAATAATTCTGAAGCCATTTCCTCTACTTCCATAGAGGAAGAATGTAATTTAATTTGATTTTTGCTTTGCACAGTAATGGCAAGGCCATTTATGCAATTACATTGCTTTTCTTATCTAGTTCCCTTTTCAGCTGCTCCAAAGTCTTCCAGGTGTCCCAGTCAGGTCATTAGTCTGTTACAGCCACCAGAGAAGAAGATACAAACCCAAAGATGCTAAACAGATATTTGTAGACTGCCAGGCTAACCCACTAATTACCTTGCTTTTTATTTGGGACACTGACTACTCCCATAAAAGCTCTATTATTAGAGATAATACCTCCAGATAAAGCTCTGGAGGTCTCTCAGAAGGCAAGTCCATTCATCTAAATCAATTGAGGTGTCATTGTGGTTGTGGCTCTTCTGCTTGAGTCAGTGCTGGGAGAGAGAATAAAAGGTATAGCCTCCCCCTGCAATCTCTGAGCTTAACTGAAGTTATTGGACTCCTTAATTTCCATGGACTTTATCTCAGTGCTCTCACTGTTGCTCACAATTGGGCTGACACCTTGACATCAGCCCCTTGTTGTGATGCACGTGGGGTCATTTTGCAGCTCTCCTGCACACATAAGAGGGAGGCCAAAAGAACACATTTCCTTACCAAACTGTTGACAAAACCAGTTCAAGCCCCTCTGAACAATAATTACAAGTGCTTCTAGAGATTTCTACTGTCATTATTGACACCAGACCTCAAGTCACTTCTCCTGTAATCCCTTGTGTGCAGACAAAGCAATAAGGTCCACTTTATGAGATCACAGAAGGAAGAAATTACAGCTCGTAGATTTGCACTAAAGTGGTGAAACTCTGCAGAGGGGCTAGATTTCAATCACAATGTACTGCATCATCCCTTGGTTTTAGAAACAACCTTGTGGAAACCACTGCAACAACGAGCTGGAGTAAAGCAAGAGGTCTGCAACATCGCCAAAGGTCTGAGACAAAAAGTCAAGATGAAGCCACATTAGTATATTCCGCTGCAAATGTGGAGGCCAAAATGCAAGTGTCTAAAGAAACAATGGCAGGAGCTATCACTACACTCTGAAATGGCCAGAACAAGCACCTAAGTAAATTTATGAGATTGTAGGGTTATTGGAAAACTATGGAAAGCAGTATTTGGCTCTTAGCCCAGACTGTAAGGGGCTTAAAAATGCAGCTGGAATTAGCTTTCAGCAAAAGCAGCAGGCCCAGGATGAGGAAAGTATTATACTCAATGAGATGTGCCTTGGGTCTGACCTCTTTTCATCACACACCATGGGCCTTTCTGAAAATTAAATTAAAGCATTTTACTATGATGGAAAAGCCAGGTGGCACATCCCAGTGCATAAAAAGATTCCTGCACATCTATTTGCTCTCTTTTGCCTTATCAGACACATTTGCTGGAAGGAGAAGGAGCTGTCAGTGCTTTCCTAGTTTCACCCCTCGGGCAGCCCAGACAAGGCTGCCTGCATGCAAGGAACACTGCAGACAGAAGAGGCCAAGCAGGAGGGGTGACATGTCAGTGGTCACTTTTGGGTCACCTGCCCCATGGCCAGCTCAAGCACACCCTGCAGAAGGGACCTCTTCCTTGGAGTAGTATTACATGAGGCAAAGACACTCATCCATCATGGGATTTTCTCACATTCTGGCTGAGCATCCCAGAGCTGCAAACCCAAATTATCCATTGCAACTGCACATGCTTCTAGCACCAAAATCTCTCTTAAAGTGTCCACCCCAGAAATATATCAAGATCAGGATTCCAAAAGATTTTCAGAGTATGGGATTTATCTGTAAACAAAATTTCATCATTCTTATTCCAGACCTCCTCTGCTGCTTTTCAAGTTGTCCCTGCATGCAGCTGTTCCAACACCTGGAGGCAGGACCTTACCTATGAACTCCTGGGATGAGACTTTCATCCCAGCTGCCTTCTGCTCGGAATGTCTCAACATTTCCATCTCTCCTCTTTGACTGCACAAAACATCCATGATGTATTTTAAGTAACTATTTATGTCAGTACACAGCAGCTAGTGAGACCCCTGACTCCTCACTACATTGTGAGCCTCATCAAGCAATTCTCTCTCTGTCCAAGCTCTTCCAAACTTGACATCATCACAGAACCCATCTTTGGATGTACTCAGGCTCCCAAAGAGATTCTTTCTCAAAAACTTCAGGAGTAATGCTCTAAGTTATTTTCACTGTCTGTGCCATGAAGCTGGCACACACCACAGATTTCAGCTCAGGAGCCAGCACAGGCCAGCTTGGCCGAGCAAATTTGGAAACAGAAATTGTTCACACTGTGACAGGATGTGAGCAGACACAGTGACAATTGGGAAAACCACCACTATATGTAAAAAGACAGAGAGAGGAGGGAAATATAAAGAGACCTGTACCTGGGAAGAGCTGGGGAACAAGTTCCTAATATCGCAGCCACCAGAAATGTCACCCCTTTCCCAGGCTGGGGCACGCAGGCGCCGGGAGCCGGCACTCGGCTGGGCAAACACAGATGCAGGAGCTGAATGAGAGCACAGTCAGCCCCATCTATTTTTAACTGGTGCAGAGGAAGCTTTTACTTTTCATTATGAAGGCGAGACAAAGTGTCCATCAGTTGTGCTGAATTTGTTCACTGGATGGGTGGGGGTGGAAGCGTGTAAAGCCCCTGGCCCCTGTCTGTGGGACCAGCAGCTCTAATCCCCCCCAGTTTGCTCACAGCTGCATGGGTCAAAGAGTGCAACAGCTGAAATGCACTTTTGATACATTTGCTGAGGGTTGCCCCAACTTACCCTGGGGCTTTCTGCCTGGTGATTTCCATTAAGGCTGACTGGTGAGATTCACTGCTGGCATAAACAAGCACCAGTCCATCAAGAGTCCCCTACATTTAGCTCAGTATGATGACATGAACAGTGCAGAGGCATCACAAGCAGACACTGGCAGTTGGATCTGGTGGCCTCCCAATGCCACTTTGATGCCCTGGACAAAAATCTGTGGATTTGGCAGCAGCAGCACCTTTACTTGCCAAGTATGTTGCATGTGGCACTGGGGAGCAGGGGAGTGGAGGGAGGAGGCAGGGCTTGGACCAAGGCTCTCCACCTCCCCCTTCTTGCCCAGACAGGGTTACAGCTCTGCAATTTAATTGTAGGATAATTAATTTCCTCTTAAATATCAATTTCTGCTGCTGTCCCCACACATTTGAACAGCACCATTCCACACTCCCTCCCCAAAATATCAGCAGCAAGAAAACTCTTGCTCATGGGGCATACCAAGGAGAGGAGCTGTGTCACTGGCCAGATGGCCACACAGCAGCTCAAACTTTGTGTGCTGGCATTTGGCCAGGTGGTGAAAGGAAAAGGCTCAGACAGCTACTGAATTCCCTGCATCCATCTCCCAAGAAGCCACTCACACATCTGCTGTCATACATAAACATGCCTTGGGTAAATCTACAGAATACACAAGCAATGACACCTGTCCTGTCCATCCTGACCTAGAGGGGTGCTTAAAATGTTCTCAGCTACCAAGTGAAACCACCAGCCTCACAGAACAGGGTTTGGCACTAAACCAGCTCTCCAAGTTCCACTTTTTCAAAAGTATATGCACATCCAGAACATGCACACACATAACAACATTTTGCTCCTCTCTGCCAAATAAGCATTTGTTAAAATCCTGCATTTATTACACACACTACAATCCCATAAAGGGGCTCAGAAGCCACCAACAGTGGCATCTGTGGATGTTCTTAAGGGAGGATTGCCTAGAGGGTGAACTGCTTTCTGTGGCCTTCCTTGAATGGAGAAAGAGACATTTCATCTGTCTAATCCAGAAGTGCTGGCATCACTTAGAGGAACCCTGGCCTCATCACACACATGAAATGTACCCTTAAGTGTCTTTTTTTTCCCCAGTTGCCACAAAAGCAGCTCAGGGCAATTATTTCAGTAGATGTTTATGCTGTTATGTGGAGTCAGGCAAGAATAATCCCTTACAGTCTGTCATGGTCCAGGTACTGCTCTCACTTCATCAAATGAACACGGAAGTTCAAAAGCAAATACCTGCTCCTGAGCATTTCAGCTGAAATTTAAAAAAAGAGGTCTAGAGGTAGCAAACTCAGAAACTAGCTAGGTGGGGGAGGAAAAGATCACAAGTAATACTATTTTTAACCTATTGCTCATGAACAAGTTGATACTAAGCTTTGTTCAGGTCCACAGGAAGCTGAAGAGCTTAACAGAGATGTCATCTTTGAAAACAGTTTAATATTTCCTCACCAGAGTGTTACTTTGCTAGTGATACTACTCAAGGAACAGGAAAATCAAGTACCTGCTGCTCTGTGTTAATATACATATGCTTACAAAGGACATGGGAATGCTTGTGGCCACTTTGAAAACAAGCACTGGAAAGTGAAAGAATCCCTTACCCGGTTGTCCTCTTGGATCTCCCAGTCACTGGAGAAGCTCAGCATGTGCTGTGCCTGTGAGCAGTTTGAAAACTGGAAAAGGCTGGCAAACATTCTTCTGTTCTCCTGGGTGTCAGGGAAAATCGCCTCCTGGAAGTTGACTCCATGTGGCAGGAGGATGTAGTTCTCATCCATTCTGGAACACAGATTGCAGGGGCAGCCCACTGTGAGAATGAACAGCACTTTGTCCTGCAGAAGTCACCTGTCATACTCCAGCCTGGCTCAACAAAAAGTCACACAGACTTTTAGCCAGCAAGTGGCTCTGAGCTCTCCTGGCACCAAAATGATAATTTCCACCACAAGGACTGGGATCAGGCAGCAGCAGTAAGGACCAAACAGGCTCCTGCCACCCTGCAGATACCTGTGAAACCCCATGAAGGAGGCAAATCTGTATTTTGGTGCCACACTTTCTACTGGATTTTCATCACATTATCCTTAAGCACAGAGTTTAAGTACTCCTTCAAGCAGTCAATAAATAACTTGTGTCAATAAAATGCGCTTAAAGATGTTGCTGCAGACTAAGCCCTAGACAGCATCAAAATTACTTTTGTCGCACGTCCAGTCTAAGAATATACCAAGTATTTCAAAACAAGCCACTGAGTAGTATTTCACAAATGCTCTCGAATTGAAAGGTCACGGAGATGGCTCTGTTCCCACATTGTGGTTTATTTTCTTATTCTTTCGATGAGCCCAAAGTCAGGGTCTGCCTGGGACTCGGGAGAGTCGATGGAAAGCTATCGGGTGAGTATTTGGGGATGGGTTTTAAACTCCCATGCCAAACTTCGGCAAACAGGCGCTGGCCTCTCTCCAGCTCTGTGACCGTCCCGCCATAAAAAACAAAAGCAGCAGCACCCACAAGCTACTCAACACCATCTCCCTGTGCATGTGCTGGCCGACAGTGCTGGAATACTACGGGAGTTTGGTGTCCCAAGCTTCTCTTTCCCTGTGAAGCTGTGTGTGGAAGCGCAAAGGAGAAGGCGCTGCGCGGAGAGCGGCAGCGGCACGGAGCGAACCCTGCGGGCAGGGCGGGCGCGCATCCCCCGCCCGCGGAGATGCCCCGGAGCCGGGATGCGCCATCCCAACCCCTCCTCGGACCCCCCTACCCCGGCACTCACCGGAGGAAGAAGAAATAAGCGTAGCCCTGCATGACGGTGTGCGAGTGGCAGGAGAAGTAGCCGAGGCCGGTGAGGTTGAGGCGGGAGCCGGCGGGCACCTCCAGCATGCTGCCCCACGCCTGGTCGCACAGCAGCTCGATCTCGGCCGAGTAAAAGAGGTCCCCCGCTCCCTGCTGGGGGCCGCCGGCGGGGCCCCTCTGCCAGGGCAGGTAGTTGTAGGCGCCGTAGGGGTCGGGGTGCAGCGCCAGCACCCGCGCGTACACGATGATCGCGGCCAGCTCGGCCCGGCAGCCCTCGCTGAGCGGCCGCCACTCCGCCGGCAGCTGGCAGCCCCCGGCACCGCCCGTCCGGGCCCCCAGCAGCAGCACCAGCCCCAGCACCAGCACCGGCACCGGCAGTGGCAGCGGCACCGGCAGCGGCAGCGGCAGCGGCAGCGGCAGCGGCGGCATCGCGGGCGGCTCCGGGCCGGGCGGGCAGCGGAGCGCCGGGGGCAGCGGGTTGGAGCGGGGCACGGACGGCCCGGAGGCGCTGCGGGCTGCCCCGGAGGCTGCGGGGGACCGGGGCTGGGCGAGAGCGCGGGAGGCAGCGAGGCGGGGATGAGAAGGGGTGGGGGTGCAAAGGGGCGGGAGGGTGCCAGGGGCGGATGCACAGAGGGCTGAGAGCCGGGCAGGCAGGAGCGAGAAGGGGCGAAGATGCAGAGGGTCGAGGGGCAGGAGGTGTGCGGGGGCAGAGATGCGAGGAGCAGAGATGCAAAGGGGAGGGATGGGAAAAGGCAGAGATGCGAAGGGGCAGAGAGGCAAAGGGATGGGCTTGTAAGCGAGAGAGGTGCAAAGAGGGAGGTGAAAAGGGAGGAATACAAAGGGGAGGGATGCAAAGGCAGGGTTGCAAAGAGAAGGAATGCAAAGGGAAGACGTGGACAGGACGGAGACTGCAAAGCGGGAAGATGCAGAAGAGCAGAGATGGGAAGGGCAGACGTACTCCGGGCTGACTGCAGCTGCTGCCCGACACTCCATGGACCCGGGGTGAGCCCTTGGTGGCACCCAGTGCTTTGAAAAGTGAAGGCGTGGCTCGTAGGGTTTTGGAAGTACAAGGGTCTCAGTGGAGCAGGGGGCAGTGCACAGCTCCACTAGGAAAGAAAATCCTGGGAAACTTAAGATGTGCTTGTGTAGAAACTTGTAACTCTAGTCATCCACTTCTCCCACTTCAAATGAGGCTGGAGAAAAACTTCCAAGTGTAGGAGACCAGCTCTTCCTAGCAGCCTGCAATCAGTTTCCAAAATACATCTGGTGAGCAAGGTAAAAGCCAGGTCTCAATATATTTTGACTTCCCACTGCTTCATCCTAGAAGAGCTGATGCAGCTTTTTGGCAGATAGCTCAAAGACTGACCCTCTCCCCACATACAAACTGCTGTGGAGCTTCTCCCAAAGATCCCTAGGGGCCTTGCACCACTGACAGCCTCCAACAGCCTCTTTCTATTTCAGTATTCTCCTTTTCCCACATCTGATCTCACTTGGAATAATAGTCATGAATGGGCATGGGACATCTAAAATCTTCTGGAGGTGTTTTTTTTTGTTTGTTTGTTTGTTTGTTTTTTTTTTTTGTATGAATATCGTGGAGACACAGTCACAGCTAAGTCTCTCTCTGGCTGTAAAGGTTATTCAAAGTCTGACAGCATGTTCCTTTAATCTCACCCTCCATCTCCATCTGCTTCTCCAGTTGTCTACAAGGACTTGGAGCTCTTGGAAGCAGAAGGTGCCTCTTTGTTCCACGTTCATGCTGTGTGTGGTATAGGAGGGTCCTTGTGCAGGACTGGGGTTCGAAATAATGTGCAAAATAATGAATCATCAGTTGAATAATGCTGAGTCAGCTTCATAACAGTGAGACAAAACAGCTTCAGTGACAAGAGCCTTCCTCAGGAATAGTTTCATCAGTCTCATCTGTGTGCTGAAGAGTTTAACAAAGTAGTATTCATATTTCATGATGGCAAGATGCTACAATATATTTCACCATAGCTTTATGCATGGACAGCAAAGTTGGTTCTTGCTAAAAAATAAAGAGATTTTTTTTTTCCTTAAAAAAATATTCAGAATGACAGAGTTTTTCTGATTTTTTTCCCTGTTTCTCAAAGATCAACAAATTGCTTCAAACTTTCAAGAAAAAAAAATTAAAGACAATTTTGAATTTTTTAAAGAAAATACCCTCAAGAAATCCCAAAAGACGAACCAGCTCAGTATTTCTTTAATGATAACCATTAGGAAAAACTGCTTATTGCTTTAGAACCTGAAGGGACAAAACTGTGGTGGAGAAGGTCCAGAGCCTCCTTCAGTAGGTTTTAGATAAATAAAAAGAAAATAAAGAGTAAAACAAAGAATTGAGGCTGATGTTGACTTCAGCTAATGCTGATGCAGGTTTGGAGGCATTTTGTGCAATCCAGTGTAAATGGAGGCTTTGACATGAACCTCAGGTTTCTGTGAGAAATGGTATCTCGAGATATTGACAAAGAATGAAGAAAGAAGTGCTGCAAGTGGTGGGAGAGATGTTCAGCCCATCCAGGGTGGACTCTCCATGTCTGTCTATGTCTTTCCCGATGGTACAACTGTGTCAGAGCTTGGCAGCTTCACCCACATGAATCTTGGGGTCAGTGTGGGCAGCAACATGTGAGTGTTTTATTACTTCAGTGCCACTTCTCTGGAGGCAGAGCCCCAAGAAGCTGAAGAGATGTTTGTAACCATAGGTTGGTTTTGTCCTGGGAACCAAATTCCCAGCTTGTGTGAAATGCAGTTGCTATTTCCTCTGTGTATACATAGAAGACTGATATCTTCTGGATAGAAAAGCCTCACATTTAACCTTCATCTCTGCTTACTGTATGAGGAAGTAAATAATGGTCAGCTGTCCTCAAATCACCTTGAGCATATGTGATCTGAACTGTGATCTGTTCTGCTGTTCCTCACATTTCGTCTAGCCACCACAAAACATAACTTAATTTAGCTGGGAGGGAGGACAGGGTGAGAAAGGACAGGCAGCTCATAAGCAAAATATGTAAGTCTTTCCTTAAAGCTACTATTAATAGCCTAAACTCCTTATATTTGATCAGGGTGTTTGAATCAGTGAGCCAGCTCAGAAAACACAACAGCATTTGCTGGCATACTCTTGTGCTGGCTGATGCTCTCCAAATTGTTTTTTGGTGGTGATTACCAGAGTGTGGATGCAAATAACTCATGTTCTGTGGGATTTCTCTGGCATTCTGCAGAGTGGTCATGTCAGCATTTTCAGGATATAGCAGGCATCCATGGAGTTGATTTTAAAGCTGAATGAGCTGAAACAGGGTCTTAGCCATAACCTGGGAGCAGATACAGCAGGTGTGCAAATCTACACATAAAAATACATCTTATCTTATTTGGAAGTGCCTGATTTCCTTGGCCTTTTCCATTCATGTTTGCCAGTGCTGTGCCCACTGTCACTGTGAGGACTTGGGGTGGCTCATTTCCTCCCATGCCCTCTGTGACATGTCCCCAACTGAGACCTCTCCCTGTCTCCCTCTGGAGATTTATCAGTGTGTAACCTTTCCTTCCCATACCAATAAGCTGATCCCTTTGCTGCTTCAGTTAATTAGCAACTCAGATGGGTATTTTGATAAAGAATTCAAACCACCTACATTCCGTGATTATTGTGATTTTGTTCTTAAATTTCTGTCCACAGAAACACCATCAATTTTCTTCTCTCTCCCTTCATTTCTGAGGTAGTGAAAAGTAACAGGAGCATCTGAATCCGTTCCAGGAATCCTTTCTCTTCCAGCTCTAGATAACGAGGAATTAGTGACATGAAGTAAGGGTTTAAAGCCCTCCCTGGGGACTGCATCCTTCAGATCTGTGTTTGCTGTTTCTCTGCAGGGATCCACCGGCTGATCTGAGACGTTCTTCAGTGCAGTGTGAATGCTTTTGTGCTGTGAACTCAGCGTGGGTCTGACAAGTGCTGCAGCCAAAACCAGCTAATCAGAGGAGCACCAATAGAGCCAATTACTGCTCAGGCTGCACTTTCAGCCACTCATGCATGTGCCACAGTTATTCATTCACTTCCTCTGCTTAGATAGTCTTGTAGACTTTGAGACAAGCTCATGATTTTCCCAGGCAGGAGCTCTTCCTCTTTTTTTTTTTCACACATTTTTACAGATATTTAAATCAAAGGTTTCTCTCCCTGGGCTATGTAATTTTCTTTGCTGTTTCTGTGACAATGTAGGTGATTGAAATGTTTTAATGAAACATTGCTCTGCTCTGTCTCTCTTTGCCTCTAAAGAATTGACTGAGTTGAGCATTAGTCCAGGTATCCAACAGGAGAGCACAGTGCTTAGTCTAGCTGCCTTTCTGATGGGTGTAGGTGACCTGAAACCTCAGCTCAGCTGTCTTTTATTTATGTATCTGCAGTGATTCCTTTGTAGTCCAGAGTACAAAATATCAAACCCAAATTTTTTCCCCCTGTGCACTGCTCTTTAAACTGGGTGACCCGCAAAGATGAGTATTTGGCTGTGCTAGTGTCCCCACAGAAAGAGATGTTTTTGTTAGCTTCTTCTATCTCTGCTTCTCTAATTTGAGTCATTCTTGTCATAGTTGACATTTGGTGCATTTATTTAACTATTTTTCTACCAATACTGGGCTGGCTGATTAAAAAAAAAAATCACATTCCCTGGCCATAGTTGTTCAAGTTTTTTTCTTTTGAAGAGTAATCATGACCATGAAGAAACTGGACATGTCTTATGGGATCAGCTGGGAATACATTGTTGTCTCAAAGCATTTGGAAATATTTCTTTTATGCACAGCAGTAAAAAGACTTTCTGTAATATCAATTAGAATTCAAATAGAAAAGTGAGTAGAAGGATCAGGTAGATGGTATAGATGGAGATCTTTGGCTACACCTTCACTGTGTCTTTCTGCCCTTTCTTGTCCTCTTTGGCCCTTACTCTTTCTGCTTTCTATCTTCACAGAATCATGGAATGGCTTGGGTTGGAAGGGACCTTAAAGATTCCCAAGATCCAACCCCCCTGTCATAGGCAGGGACACCTTACATTAGACCAAGTTGCTTAAAGTTCCATCCAACCTGATGCTGAACATTCCCAGGAATGGGACATCCACAACTTTTCTGGGCAACCTGTTCCAGTGCCTCATCAGTAAAGAGTTTGCTCTTTATCTCTCAGTAAAGCGTTTCTTCCTCATATCTAATATAAACCTACTCTCAGTTTGAAACCAATCCCCCTTCTCCACTCTGCCTTCACTGTGGTCACTGAGTCCTGCTCTCCTTTTCCTCTGCTCTGATCTCTGATTCAATTCAATTCAAATGGAATTCAAATTCAAATTCTCTCACCAATTCAAATTCAATTTCC